TGAAATGATCTAAGAGGAATTTAAGGCCTAGATCAAGGAAAACTTCCTCGGAAAAAGAAAAAGAAAACGAAAACTTTTGGACCTATCTTGTGGAGTATTATATTTTCCCTTTTTTCTTTCATGTGATGAATAAGAGGTGGAAGATACTGTGGTGGACAGCTTTTTTTTCTATCATGTGATAAGCTGGGAGAATAATGGCAGATCTAAGATCTAACCAAGCTTTTAGGCGCTAAAAATAGTGGAAAAGGCAGTGTTTATAGAACCTTTTTGGACTCTACTCACCAGGCTTGCTAAGAATTAGATGCATTTCTGCCGCTATAGTCTCTAAAGGGCTGATTTCACATTTCATCATTAATGTATGTCTGGCACTCTAAGAAGATACAGAAAAAAAAATATGCTGACTGCATCTAGCAACCAGAAAACACACTTTTATACTAGCAGCAGGTGTTATTAACGTTATCTAAATCCACTCAGAAAATCGTTTCCTTTGAATTGCAAAAGGCTATAGATTCAAAATGTATTAAAAGAAAATTGAAAGAGAGTCAGTTGTAAATCAGGTGGGAAGTGAAGATGCAAAGACCCCCCCTCTCTGAATAACCAGCTTGCCCTCCTAAACAAAATAGCTGAATAAGAAGTGCTGCCAGTGTAAATGCTAGTCATATATTTTCAGAAAGAAACACATCAACATAAGGAGGTGGATCAGTGGAAAAGGAGCATTTTAGTAATAGCTAGTATTGATGATGTTAATGTATTTATTGACTAGCATACTAGATAGTAAATAAAGCACTTTAGAACATAAAGTTATAAATATAAAGCAAACAAAGGAAGAACAGCAAATATACGAGAAAAGAATAGCTGAGAAAAGAAGGAAGAAAGGCCAAAACGGCTAGGATGTAAACCGTAAAGACATACAAGAGATACAACTGGTGGCAAAGGAGAGAGGAAAGTTGAACATCAACTCAGACTACTAGGGACTACATTGTTATAGACAGGGGCCCCCTGCTTGGGGTCTGCTAGACAAAACATAGAGCACCAAAATTTTCTTCACAAGGCCAATTCTTAAAGAACTCTTTAGAGGGTATACGTTTAACACCTACTGGTCTGCAAAATTTCATATTGAGGCCTCTCTTATGAAGTTCTCTAAAGAACATCACAGCTTCTTATATAACAATACCAAAAAAGAGAAAAAAAAAATGCTTTCACTTGAACTTCTTGCCACAAACCTTTAATCAGAAGCTTTTAGTAACAGGCACAGAAACAAGTCAAATGACAGCACAAGCTTATTATGCAATAGCAGTCATATGACTCATATCTAGGTGAAGATGAAGATCTTTCACACAGCATGTGAGAAAGGATTACAAGACCTTGTTTTGTAATTTTTCACTTAATATGAGAAATGCAATCTAAGTAATTTAGCCAAAGGAGGTACACAGAAAAGAGGCACTACAAAACTGACTTAATCAATAGACCCAATTTCCAGTACAAGGCTTTTGACAATGAACAAATTCAGGTAAATATAAAATGGAAGCCATAAAAATAAAACAAAAGTTAAAAATTAAAAATTGCAGAAATCAGACCTGGTATCTTCACTCCTCTTCTACGATACATTTCTGCATGTGTGAAAAATTTAACAATCTCTTCCAGCTCAATTCGTATTTTACCAAGCCCCGCAACATCTGAAAACTTCACATCTACATCTCTCTCCAAAAATTGAGGTGGTCTTTTATGGCGTGCTCGACGAACACGAGCACCAGACTTCATGAACTGTGAAGCCATCTTCATGTAAGCGTTTTGCTCACCACCCTTCCCGTCTTCTTCCCCTTCTTCATCTTCGCCCTCCAATCCTTGCATTTTCCTCTCTAGCTCCCTCATCTTTTTTCTTTCCTCTGCCTCGGCTTTCTCAATCTTTATTCTGTCCTCATAATCCTTCCTTTGCTTCCTATAATTAAGAACTACTGTCCGATAGAATATGATAAAGAAGACTACCCCAAGAGCAGTAGCCACATTTTTGTCCCTAGCCAAAGAAATCCATATATACCCCATTTCTCTATAATTCTTCCGAGCCTGACGTAATGACTGTTCGTGCTTCATCTTCTGCAATTCCCTTCTCTTGGTTCTCTCCTCAACCTTCCTCTGCTGTTTCACCATCTTCTCCATCATCTCCCTCTCCTCCCTCATTGCCTTCATGTCCTCTTTTCTCTGCCTCTTCAACTCCTCCCTCATCTTCTTCAACTCTAAAGCCTTCTTCGATTGCGGCTTAGTTTTAAAAAACGAATTGATCGCCCAAAAGGGTACCTTCGACAAGAACCCCAAGTATGGGGAAGGAATCTCCGGCTTCTTGACCGGCGGACTATATGCATTCACGCAAAATGAATCAACCTTCAACTCATCCCATTTACTCCAAAAGTTAGGATTACCCTCAAAAGAGGGCAACACAATCCTGAAAACCCTAGAATCATCCAAAACAACCAAAACCCACTCGGGTTTTCGCCTCAATGCAGCACTAGTAGGCTTAATTACATGCTTAAGCTTACCCTCCTCCGTCAAATTCAATACCTCAGTAAAGGGTAACCTATCTCTAACTACAGGCAAACCCTGAGACCATGATTTAAACTGTTCTGGGGTCAATGCTTCTACTGTTTTCTTAGCACTACGCTTCTTTTCGGACACTTTCGCCGCCACAGCCGGCTGCGGCAGCGCAGTTGAAATCACAGTAAGAGTGACAGACAACTTAAGCAGTTCCAACCCATTATTGGTTTTCTTGTTCTCGTCATCATCTTGTGAGTTTTTAGACAATTGACATGAAATTCTTGGGTGTACATGAAATGGGCAATTATGTTTTTGGGATTTTGATGGAAAATTAAACAAGGGAAATGGGTGTTTAATCAAAGCCATGAAATTTACAAATAATAATACTACTAATTAACAAGAATGAAATAGAATTGAGAGAAAGGAACACAAACTTGATTGAGGCGCGCCCAAGTAATTGCAATTTGGTGCAGCATGCTTTGGTGAAATTGAAATTTCAGATAAATTTCATCTGCTCAGGAAAGCATAGCTTCTTGAGAGAGTGAGAGAGATACTGCCCTGACTAAAACAGGAGGTGTTGGAGATTGGCGTTGCAGGAAAATTTGAGATAGGCAAATCCAAGGATTTTATTTACTACTACGACTCTACGAGTATTCCTTTTTCTATGGGTTGAAGACTTAAACGTCACCCGCGTTTTACCACTTAACGCCGGTATTTTGATATTAATTAAATTAGTGCCTGTGTGATGCACGGTATTAATAATTTTTTTTCCATAATTAATTGTGATATAATATAAAAATGAGGCAATTCATGTGAAATATACAAATTCAATGCATATAGAAAAATAAAATAATAAGGCAAAATTTATAAAAACTACAATTGAGAAAAAAAATATATAATTTTGATTAGTTGTGTTGAAAATATTTTAAAATAGTATATACAAAGTATACATTATATTACATTAATGATGCATATTATTCCCAATAAAACTATACAATAGTGACTATATGACTAAAGACTTATTTATAAATGTCTTTTAATAAATATGAAAATATTAATCAAACAACTAAAATCTTTTTGGTAAACGTGTATGAAAGAATATAATTAAGAACACGAAATACAAAGAAATACATTTTATGTAAAGATAATATATAAGATTTGGAATAATATTATTATAATTGTATTACACAAATATTCCAAAAATATAAGTTATTATTTGCTAAAAGGGAAAGGGGAGTTTTGGAGGGAAAAAACAACACCAGGAAATGACACATGTCATTCCTGGTGTCTGTTTTAGTATTATGTTATTGATTGATGGACAAGCTATATCGTCACAACTTTTCACTTCCTAACTCACTTTAACACTCTCTCCTCCCAACAAACCACCACCGGTCGAAGGCGAAGTCATCACCTGCGTTAAAGTCTCTCTTTTTTTAATTTTTGGATTGAGGCAAAACGTCTATGATTTTGAACATTTCAGGTGAAAACGCCTAGAATAGGCGTTCCTCCCATAGAAATTTGAAAACTCCAGGCATTTTCAATTAGAAGGAACTTTTAGAAAAAGGAATATGAGAATATCATACAATAAAACAATACTAGTAAATTAATTAAATTTGCTTAAACTTTGTGCCGGTTAAAGTGTGTCATATTTATAGGGACAAAAGGAGTATTATATAACTATAAAGATGTGCACAATCTTAATATGAATGGGCAACATGAATGGTGACATCATATTCTAAAATGAAATGCTTAAAGAGTTTGTTACATTATCTTAATGTGAATTACCCTCACCTATAAATTATCATCTAGGTAAAGAAGTCATTGTGTAGCAAAATAAAAAAAATAAAATAAAATAAAATAAATAAAAATAAAAATTGCTAGCTATCCAACTTGGATTTTGTGAGCGTTAAGGTAACTTAATCAAGCTTTGCTGAAATTTTAGACTTTGCCACATCAGTTTTTCATTAACTTAAATTAGAATGTGGTCCAATCTATAGTGACGTGCCATAATGATTAAGGTTGATTGAGTGGTGATGTAGCATAATGAGAGGTTGAATAGGTGATGTGACGGAAGTAAAAGGGTCTACGTGGCACGTAGACTTTCTTAGTAACGCCTTTTAATATATTAGTATAAATAAGTATATTCATTTTTCACATTCATTGTTATCTTGATTTTACACTTTAATCATCAGACTCACATCTAACTATTAAAACCTTGAGGCAACATATTGAGCAAACCCAGTGACCAACGTCTTTGATTTTACTCCAGACATTGTAAGTGTACTTCAACCCAAGAAACATAAAATCCTCGAGACTTTGCTCAAGACTACCAATAATGTTACTTTAAACATAATGGATTAGACTGTCATTTCAAGATATCAGTGTTGTCACATATCATGTTTGTATAGCTAATCAATTTTCAAGTATAAGTATATTCTGAAAAACATTAATTTGAATATATCCTTCGCAAGTTTAACATTGGACAATTTATGGTAATAATTTTTCTTCTTAAAAACAAGCTTTTGTAATAAGTACATAACTTTCATCAATGGTAGGACATGTTAAAGTAGTACATATTGTTCCATAAGTCAATAATTCAAGAAGCTTCAGCCACTGCTAGTGCTATTTGCTTCATATTTTCTCAGTTGAGAATACTAATCCCAAATTCCCAACATTTACAACAATCACCAGAGTAATGAAATATAAAAAGACTGACTACCCGGCTACCAGAATAGATATATCACTAGCGTTCCTCAATTTACGAGTACATAATAATCGCGGTTAAAACCAAGAGCGAGTACAAACAAGATAAGTCAGTAACATGTTAACCAAATAACATCAAGAACAGCAGAGGCAGCGAGCAAGATGCAACTCAGGAAGGTGAACGCAATGGAGGCAGCAACTCGGTCACAGAAGACGTGCAGAGGCTTGCAGAAATTAGGCAGAGCTGTGTGTCGAATTCCTGTTCGATTCAGGCTAGTCACCCCTGAAGCAGCTGAGCCTGCACTCATCATTGCATATGCAAATATCTGCCTCCCAAGATAAAAAATCATGTAAGATAAAAAAAAAAAAAAAAAAAAAAAAAAAAAAAAAAAAAAAAAAAAAAAAAAACACTTCAGGGTATTAATACAGAAATCACAATCTGCGTCAATTTTACTAACAGAAATATTTCTTGTAACATAGATGCATTTTACAGTTTCATTAGATTTTCACCTGATCACCAGCATAGATAACCCAAGCATATTTCTGAGAGGGAATAACAACAACCTTCTTTTGCAACCTCGCCGCACTAATCAACAATTGAAGTAAAGAGTGAGCAGCTACTGTTGCTGAAACTCCAACCAAATACCTGTACAGTAGCCAAGACTCAGAAAATTCTAGGGAAAATTACAAACTCCCTCTGTCTCACTTTACTTTTTCATTTGACCGTTTTTGTCGGATTTTATTGGGTTAAGCGGGGCAAGTAAACTGAGACGGACAAAGTATTTACATTTAATTAATTAAACGACCATAAATAAAATTCGACGGAGTAGTAATAGAAGACTTACTCAAAAGAGTCAGAAAAAGACCAGTGGGAGTAAACAGGGAGCTGAAATCCATAAAGTGATAAAGTTGACGATTGTTTAGCAGTAACCATCAAAGACAATCCCACCATTGAACTCACCAAACAAAGCAGCCGAAGCATTACATGAACACCATCAACCATAGCAGGCCTCACCTTTCGACTTATCGAAAACGGAGAAGGTGATGCCAATGGACCACTCATTGTCCCCATTTCTAGCCCTGCTACTAGTGCTGGTGGTGTTGTTTTACACTCTTCCGCCATTAATGTAGAACTTAATTTGTGTTCACTTGAATGGTGTGATTGTTTTAAGAGCTAGGAATAGCTGTTTATAAAGGAAGAAGGGGAGCTTTGAAATTTGAAAATGTGTGAATTGGTTGTTTAGGTAAGGACAGAGTTTGGGTTACCGGGGTTTCTTTGTTTGTAAGGACAAATTCAAGTGGTGTAATATTAGAGGCACTACTTCTAGACTTGTTTGGGTAATGGAATGATCACGCATGGTTTTTAAATTTGGCTAGTCATCTATATTCCACTCAACTTATTTTTGCTAAACTTCGGTCGTGTTTTCTTGTTAGCTTAAGCTATTGTCAACAGTCTTTATCCGTAAGATTGTGTTCATTTTAGTACAAATAAGTTTAAATGACTTTAATATATATAAATGTATAATTCAATGTATTAATTCAAGGATTTGCATATTTCAGATTCAATATTCATGTAATGCCTTGAATTAGGTCTAATTAGTTGAAATAAAAAGATGATCTTGTGGAAAAATATAGGTTGAAATTATGGATTGAAATTATTTTTGCTAGCCTTATACTCGTATCTGTTTGATGAAAAGAATATAGCCTAAAAAGGGATAGGTATGGCTTTTTTTTTTTTAATTTTTTTTACTAATGCGTATGGCTAAAAAATGAGTTTTTCTAAGAGTAAATTAAAGAATACTATCCCATTTTTATTACCTCGAACACATTTATTGGCTTGTATAATGGACATAAAATGTGTATGAAACCTCCATGACCACATCTTATTTGATGTCACATTTTATAAAACCTCTAAATGAAGACTAATCTTTGTCAATAACTTAATACTATGTCTAAATTTCTTTTACACATTTTATCAAATTTTTAAATCACATGGATGAAAAATTATACGGAGAAATATTTTCTTGAACTTTTACTGTCTTGGAAATAGTACTTCGTCATACAAACTTGTCATCTTTCTAGCTAATCATTCCTTGTAAATCATGAGTTAGAAATTATTTTTTTTTTCCACGAAAAAAGAAAAAAAAAAATGGAAGAAATGAAGGGCAAGTGATGGAAGTACTCGTGACCAAGCAGTGTAGTGGGAATTAATTGGGTCAAAATCCTTCATTGATTGTTTGTTACGATCAAATCAAAAGGGAATTTCATGTTGAACACCTGTTGAAACTTTGGACGATTGTCAATCTTTTGGAACCCTTAAAAATTCCGTGACTTTTAAGCACGACTTCAGGGCACACTGTTTCATGTATATACTCTACAGAATACAGTTATTCACTTAATTTACTTATTACAGTAACCCACACTGTACAAAATTAAAAATCTAATCAAAGTCGTATCGGAGACATGTTTATGTTTGGTTTCATATTAATTATAGGTAGTTCCTAAACTAGCAAAGAAAATCAGATCATTGATTAATGATTATTGATATGACAAATGGGTTTAAACTTACTTGTATATCAGGTACAGCTTGTTTTGTGTATGAATACTGTTGTTCATGTTCCTACGTACAGAGTTCGTAGACATGTCAAGCCAAATTGTTGCTCTTCAATTCATATCCATACTGTGTACACAAAAGTTTTAAATGAAGACATTTAGGCTTTCATGCATTCTCATTTCCATTTTGAAAAATCTGAAATTTCATTGATTCAATCCAAATTCAAGAACCGAAAGAATGATAAACAGTACAAAATCCAGCCTTTTGCGGCTACAAAGAATATATTTTCTTTGCTCGTTATCTGGGCTCCTCATTGCACATACATTGATTCTCAACAAGATTCTGCTGGAATACAAACTACTACACCGATTTCCTGAGAACACAGCTCAACTGTGAGTTTGGGGGACACATCTAAACACCAAACATTAAATCCATGACTCTAGATACAACAGATTTTGCTGGGGAAGCAATTGCACCAGACTGTTTGGTTGTACTGGTACCATTTTGAAGATAGTAAGGGTGAGCTGTATTCGATCTGAATTGCTCAGAATTCAAACCAGATGATGATGCAGGTGGTAGAGGCATAAATCCTTGGTTGTTGGCCCTCTCATCAAGAGCCTGGCGCTGAGCTGTATCAACAAGCTTCACTCCCACAATAAGGACTCCATTAATTTGTGATCCATTCTTGCTAAGTGCTTTCCGAGCATCAGCACGATTCTGAAAATAGGGAAGTAGAAACAGCTCAGATATTAATCATTCAAGCTAGCAGTAACGTGATACGAGGGGCACAAATACAAATAAATGCAGGAAATGCACCAGAAGCATAGTTGTCTAGTGGAGACTGAAGAAAATTAATGTGAAGTGAAGAAGATGATTAACAAATAGAGAAGATGGGACGAACAAACTACATAAAAGATCAGCAGTAAAAAAACAAGAAAAAAAAAAAAAAAAAGTTCATTAGTCAATACATCTCCCAATGCCTGATTTTTTTTTTCCACCCAACAAGACAAAGGAACCCCAAGGAAAACACAGAATAACTCACAAGGGAAAACTAAAACTACAGTTTCGACTGCCTAAAAAAATTTCAGTGGCATGGAAAAGATATATCATTCAATGAGCAATTCGAGGAGACGAGGATGCTAAGACAATGGTAAGCAAAAGAATACAAAGCCTAGAAAACTGGTTTGTTTATTAGAAGAGAACGGATTATAGCACCAGGATGATGCAAAGGTAGCTTGAATCACAGAGATCCTAAAAAGAAGTTGCAATCACAGCCCTTACCACAGGAAATATGCTCTCATAACTAATTGCCTACATAAAATTAATAGAGAAATGAAAATACAATGAAGAGAGGAAACTCAAAAGCTTGAATTGGAGAGATCAAATGAAGACAAGAGAACAAAAAAACAATTCCCTCCATTCCAATAGATCTGTAGGTGTTTCAAAGTCATTGAAATGAAGAAAAATAAAAATAAATAAAAAATAAAACTTTCTGATTACTACCTATCTCATTATTTATTTTTATTTTTATTGAAATTCACTTCCTTCAAAAGTTTTAAAAATGAACTACAATTCATGGCACCTTCTCAATTAAACAATAACTTTTACCTTTAGAATGTCCAGCTGTGACCCTCAATTTTGCGTTTAGCCAATCAAGGTAAAAAGGGCTGAAGACTAATCCCTCTAAAGGTAAAATGAGGTCATAATTTAGCTTAGAGGTAGTTATAAGGAAAAAAGATAGTTTCTTCACCATTAACATTATAATAGGTACTAGAAAATTATTTTAAGAGTGTTACAAGGCATTTAAAACTAAAAGGTAATTGTTGCATAGTTTTCCCTCAACAAGAAATCTAAAGCATAAAATACACTAGCGCATTCATAATTCGGCATTAATATTTTAATTCACTCCTATGTTTTATGATATGTTGTTGCCTGTTAACAAGGCCCTTGGCAGAAATTGAAACCATGCAAATATTTTGGGACTACCTAAAAATGAAACAAGTTGCGAAAAAGTTGAACACAGGAGACATACAGACATAGAGTACAAGTAAAGAATAAGTCTAAAAAAAACTTCTAAGGCGACCTACCTTCTAAGAAGACTCATAAAGGGTGCAAAGATACATAGTTTGTCACCCGTGAGGAAGTTATTAGAATGATATATTCAATTGTTAAAGTCAAAGGGTTATGTAAGAAGTTAAACAAGCAAATTATAATAAAGGCTATATTAATTTTAAGTTTAGACCAAAATCCAATTCAAGGGCTTTATAATGATATACCAGAAGAAGAGAGAGAGAGAGAGAGAAATCAGTGTTCAAGAACAGGTCTGGACCGGACCAGACTGAACAAAACCAGTCAAGTCACATAGAAACTAGCAGTTAAGCAGAACTAGCAAAACCTACAGATCAGTAGATGTGTAATAAGGCTTTGGCTAAGTTGCTGAGGTATTAAGAAATAAGGCAAAGAATGTTAGCTGTAGAAGAGAATTTCAGCCATGGTCTAGAGTAACATAAGCAGTAATTCCAATCACAAGACTAGAGTAGACTGCATTCTTCCTACCCAAAAACACAACACTGTTAGAATTGGGCAAGCCTACATGGTGGCCTCTAATTATTGCACTTTCTATATGGTGGAAAATTTCTTTGGCCATATTCTAAAGTGACCCTTTCCCACTCCCAAAACCACCCAACCTCAGCTCAAACCCATTCCACTCACCCAAAATTACACAATCCCACCTCAAAGCCACCCCCACCCCACCCCTAAACCACATACCTCACCTGAAACCACCCCCCACCCACCCGAAACAACTCACCCCTACAGGAAAGGTAGTACTTTTATTTGTTTAACTTAAAGATTAACCATAAAACACCAAAAGTTAGCCATAAAACAGATATAAAGGCACACTGGAGAAAAAGCAGAGGGTAAATTAAGAATAAGGCCAGTCCACCGTGTAGAAAGTGCAATAATTAGAGGTCACAGCGTAAAATTCCTATTAGAATTATATAGATTTGGTGCTCAAATTAAGGACAGCTACTAGTGAAGACTACATATTGGCATATTTACAGAACTGCTTGCTAATAAATCACTAGCTCCTGCCAATAATAGTCCTCTATCCCTCATTCTAGTTGTCACATCATAAACATCTTCCACTACTATAAAGAAACACTGAGAAAAGGAAACCCTGAAGCTGGTACATACGAAATATTTTGAAAGCATACAGTGGCAGCCCAATCTTTACATTTTACAATTTCCTTCTACTGTTTTCCTAGAATTCAACTAAACCTTACTCAAAATGAAACCATGCATGGAAATTTATCAGGAATATAACTTCCAGTTTTCACATCATTCTATTCAATGACGATAAAATAAATAGTCACAGTAGAAACATTTTACTTATTCAGGGAAAGTACACTGTTTAATTAAGGGAGGCTAGAAGGGTGATAAGTTCACTCAAAATAATGAACAACCCACAAATGTTTGTTAATATCCTAGGACTTGTTTACAGAACCATGAAAATCCTAAATGACCTCGCTCTCCTCCTTCATTTATTTACTTTCTAAGAGTAGTCACAGGGACACTTTTCTAAAACAATCTATGGAAAGAAAGAGTTATATGTTGGACTCCCTGCAATTAAAGAAAGACTTGAGAAAAACAACTCCAATCTAGTGACTTTTGACAGAGAAAAGGTCGAACAATGCCTCCAAAAGTACAAGAAACTAAAATGAATGACACTTGAGGATTAATGTCAATCGAGTGCAAAGATTTGTTTTGACAAATTACACAAACATTCTTCAAAAACCATCACTGATAGAGTGATATACCCTGAGAGTTTTCAGCTGATGAAATGGTTGCTTTGTGACAGATTTCACAATTACACATATCCAGAAGCTTTAATTGCACAAGCATAAAACTCAATTCTCTGCCAAATTGAACTGCATACATTCCATATTGGGGTGTATCTAAAATAACTTCACCCTCAATATTTTACTATCTCCATCCACCCAATGTATAAAATGGCTCAAAGCGCAAGAGGCGATGAAGGTCCTAATGTGCCTTGGGCGCGCTTCCGTGCACCTCTTTGAAGTGAGGCGCACATTATAAAACAGTTAATGAAAACTGCTTATGTAAAACAGTTAATGAAAATTGCTTATGTGCACCTCATTCGCCTCTGGCGTGCCTCTTCGAATGCACCTCGCCTAGAGCAAAAAAGGCGCTATACCCTAATTGCCTAGTGCCTCTGCATCTAAGGCATGCCACTTTATACACTAAATCCACCTCTTCAATCTTCTTCACCCTTTCTTTTATTTCTCTTCCAAAGTGTAAAGTTTATTTTGGGGCAGAGGAAGTACTACGTAGTAGTTTCTATATTTAATTTGGGTGGGGAGGGGGTGCGGGGAGAATTGCTAATAAAATCCTACTAGGCACTAGCAGATTATGATCAAGAATTCAACAAGTTCCAATTTTTCCCTTAACATTCAGTTGAGAACATGATCCATTCTATCACAAAACAAACATGGGGGGTTCACCTTTTTTTTTTTTTTTTTTTTTGACGGGGGTTCACCAATTTAAAAATACAATTACAAAGTACTTCCTCCGTTCCCTAATGCAATGAACCACTCCACCACACCACCTGCTCGTACTACACCACCTATCCGTCACACTTACTGCAGGAGACCAAGGGGACAAGGACAAAATCAGCAGCAGGAAGACACCACCAACCCGCAACAGTCACAAGCTCTACCTTGAGCCACTGCAGTCTGCCATCCTTGGCTTATAAGCTTGCTTTGTTATTTGCTTTTAGAAAGAGGACAAGAGTAGTAAATGTAACAATAAAGGCTATTGCCATGTCATGTGAAAGGAAAGTAGTATAAGTAGCAGCATCTTAGGAGAGAGAAGTCATTCAGAAATTTATGTATTGGAACTCTTGGAGACTAATGGCCTAGAGTCATTCACTTCTTAACCATTTGGTTAATTATCCTTCAGTCAATCAACTTTCCTCTTTCATTATTCAAACTTGTCTTCTTGGTTAGTCACTTGTAGGGCGCAGTCCGTTGCACCTAATTGATACAATTCCCTAATTTAGATATCTAAATACTCAATTTTGGTAATGTGTTCTCCCTATCTCCCTCTTCATCAGATGGTCCCTCTTTTCATCTCTCTCAATCAGTCTCCTAATCTTAATTTGTGTGCCCAAGTTATATGTAGCATATTTAAAGAGCAATAAAGTAATTTTTCTAATGCAAACAGTGATACAGACACTTAAGCGCAGGAGTCGGGAGGGGGGACAAAAGAACCTTAAAAGAAGCATGCTTAGCAGTTAGCATTAACGTATCAAATAAGCAATAACAAAAGGTTATGCCAGAACTGGATACCTGATAGAGAATGTGCATCCAATTAGCATTTCTTGGTCCTGGAATATGCTTTAATATCACACCACACTTTTCGAACTCCCGTAAGACTAAATTAGTGTCACCGGGAGAGAATCTGTTAAAATAGTTGAATCACAAAAGATCAAGAAACAGTGCATAAATTATAAAATAGACATAATGTTCATAATTTCATATTTTATAATCAAAATGATTGTCATAACTTACCCGTAAACAGTGACCCATTCTTCTTCATTGAGGTTTCCAGCTGGAGGACTACTCCTTTGCATCTCAGGCCTCGCTACTTCCCTTGGTGGAGGAACAGTAATCAAAGCTCCTGGCTGAACAACACCCTCGACAGGGGAGCCCTTCCCCTTCTCTTCTTGGTCACTAGTGCTTTTACTAGGGGACCACCAATTCATGCCTGAGGACCCTTGTTGATTATGCTGACTTGTTGTCAAAGCCATCGATGTACTAGCCTCAGATTTGCTTTTAAGAGGTGTTGAGAACTCTCGGCCAGAAGTCTGAACAGGAGTTCTAGGATCTGACCTAGGTTCAGGAGACATTGGATAGTCCATAATTCCAGATTCCGGTGTGAAGTCAGACCGGTCTTCTAAAGAAAACATTGGTGGAGGCGGAAGATCAGAGCTTGCAAAATTTTCACGCCATAGGGCAGAAACTGCTGCTGCCTGACCAGGGGTTGAAAATTTACCCCTCCTAGACGAGACAGGTGTAGCTAAATCATTGAAAAACAATGACTGTCTTCCCGATTTCGGGGTTCTATGCACTGTTGAACTCATTTTCAGATATAGTTTTACAATAAACCCTCTGCAACAATACAAACAAAAACATTACAAAATAAAGCGAGGGAATGTAAGGAACAAAACTATACACCACATCTAATCTGAACTATGAACGTCAATGAGATAGACGCTAAGCATACAATAGGAACAACAGCATTCACTAACAATATACAGATATTCAAATTCGAAAAAACGAGAACAATAAACAGACATCATACTCTTTCTTATTCAAGGAGTAGTGAGCATCTATAAAACTATTCTACCCTTTCGTAGAAATAGAACTCTATTTCAAATTGAAGTCCTACAAATTTTGCAGGTTTTACAATAAGAAATTTCACATAGGTTCATCATCAATTCATCAGAAAATTCCACCAATTTGTGAGAAACTATTCTAATCATCACATCGGTACGAAGCTAAGTAATAAATTGAATGTCTGCCAATTCATAGCAGAAAAAGGGCGGAAATTGCTAAGAAATATTTACATCATTTCCCCAACTAATCCCAAATTATTCCAACATATTGTTAAAGACTTCACCATTATCCTATGCATTTCCTTTCTACTGCCCCCAATTGCTTTACAAAGCAGATTCAATACTTCCAATTCTAATAAAAATAAAAACATGCATAAGATGAAATATGAAATATATCAACAAAAGCACCGAAAATCAAGGGTTTCCAAATTCCAATTCAATTAAACTTCTACATCAAATTGAACAAACTCTACAAACTAAAAAACAGCAATTAAAAAATCAAATTCAACAGAAAAAACTGAGCTAATCTAAGAGTAAAAACCGAAATTAAATACGTGAAGAAGAAAAATAGCGTAGAAATTACCTAACCGCGAAAAAATGGTTCGTTAGAGAGTTAGGGTTTAAGAGTATTAGGGTTTATAGAGGGAGATGAGAAAAAGATAAAGCTAGAATGCAGCGAAAATAAGGCGGCGGAAGCGGCGGCGGTGGCCGGAAATGAGGTTGCAGAGATATCGACGATATTTTCCGGCGAGGAAGAGAGAGAAAAGGGGAAATGTTGAGTGATGAAATAAGGATTCAAATTGATCGGTGTGTAAAGAGAGCGGGGAGAAAGAACTTGTGCAGCGGGGTTGCAAGGTTTTTGCTTTGAAACTTATAATGACTAAATTGCCCACTTTGTAAACCCCATTATAAACATGTCCTCAATTTCATTAGAATTGAAATTTGGCAAAATTAACTTCAACAATAGCTTGGAGCCTTGGACAGTTTTTTATTTTATTTTTTTTAACGGTAATTTACGGGGGAGGAGGGGTATGAGGAATCGAACTCCTGTCACACAAGGGAAAGATGGAGGGGCTAAGAGGTTGTTTAGTTCACCTGATTTTAGCTGATCTGATCTGAACTTATTTTTTCTGATCTGATCTGATCTGAACTTATTTTTCCTGATCTGATCTGATCTGAACTTATTTTTCCTGATATGATCTGATTTGAACTTATTTTTTCTGATCTGATCTTATTTTTTCTGATCTGATCTAATCTGAACTTATTTTTTCTGATTTGACCTTATTTTAATTATTTCAATATTCTACTTTTAATGTTAATTAATATTAATGTTTAATTATTATTATTACTATTATTATTATTATATTATATTATTTATATTATATTATATTATATTTTTATTATTATTATTATTATATTACTATTATATTATATTATTATTCTTATTATTATTATATTATTATACTATATTATATTATTATTTAAAATAATAATAATATCATTATTGTTAATGGAATTGTTTCTAAAATTTCAAAAGGTGAGGTTGTTTCTGGAAGATGGAGCAAAGGTGGGATTATTAGATTTCATTTTCCTTTTTTTATTTAAGCTTTTATATTTAACTTGTTTCGTGTGTTTAAGTGTTTTTTTATTCATTTGTTCCTCTATTGAACCTTTTTTTTTATATAAAGAAAAAGACTCTACCGAGTCGGAACCTCTCATAGGTTCTTCCGACCCATGTTAGCGTTAGGCTCCTCTATTGAAGCTTGGAAGACATGATTTGGGTCACGCACGAATTATACTCCGTAAGTAAATTAAAAGTGCTAAAAAAAATAAAATTTTCCTTTTTTGACAATTTTTTCCATGTACAATGACTATTTTATCCATATTACTATAACATAATGAGCCCACATTTTATTTATAATCATAACTTAAATCAATCAACACAATATAACTACAACTTTATATTCTCAAAACTACATGTTCCCTTAAAAAATTATCCCTTAAAAGATTATCCCTTAAAAAATTAAAAAAAGTAAAGAACAGAAAAATAAATACCAAAAGTGGCGATATTCCCCATGTTCTTTAATACCATTCCCATTTCCAGAATGACGGTTTTCAAAGTGAAAAAAAAAAATCAATCCTTACCCAAAATCGTCAACCGGATCTACCTGTTATTATGAAATCCCGTGCGCCGGTAATTTGTTCACGCCGATTTTCAGTGTTCTACTGAATGTTTGAGCTACATTGAGAGGCAAACAACATTTTAATGAGATAAATTGAAAGAGACGACAATGAAAAGGACGATGATGTTCTTCTTGAAGACGAGCCGTACGGTATGTAATTTCTCAATTTGAATCTTCCTCTTTTAAAGCTTCCACGATCTATCCACCAACATCAGTTTTTCAGATGTGTTAATTTTATTATCCTAAGATTTTGATTTTTATCTGAACTCACATTTTTCTTTTGTTTAATTTATTTATTTTAAATTAATTATTCTGTAATCTGAACTAGGTTTTCTCGGTACTGTATTTTTACTGCCTGTCAATTCTAGAAATCTGAACTGGGTTTTCTCTAATTATCTCATTTTATAATAATTAATCTAATCTGATAACCGACAATTAATGGCGCATTGACTATATCCTAGGAAATGAATACCATACATGTATTTGCATGGTGCATGGTTGGCTATTTTTTCTTTACATATCAAGTATTGTTTTATTCCTGAAAAAGTATTGTTTTATGACTTTATCATAGAAATCTGCATAGTTGACTAACAAAAATATTAATTGGGAGTGTTGGTAGTTTGGTACTATGGTTTTTTTGTGTATATATATTTTTTCGTATTGCAATATTTCTTACCTACAACACATCAATCTCTCCCAAATTTTGTCCTTATGTTGGTCATTGTAGTAGCTTGCTCGTATACAATCTCGTTGATAGGTAAATACCTTAACTCTTTATTGTTTTTTTTTATTATATTTTCATAATTTCGTCTACAATCATCACTTCATCGGGTAATTTACTAGTTACGGAGTATATTATTGTTTCAATTGAATTTTTATCTAAGGAGGAATTATTTAATTTTCAATTATTATGTTGTGTAGTCAAATTATTAGTCAAATTGATGATTGTATAGTAGGTGATAAGATGATATATCATTTTTTTTTTTTTTGAAAATTATCTATCGATTGTCACCTTGTTATTTAACTTTTACAATACTTGTGATTTGTGAATTGTTTACTTTATGGGTTTAATTGTTTAGAGATGGGTCATGTATTATGCTGGTGGTTATGGGGGTGGGGCCGGTGGCGATGAAGGGGGTGCTCATGGGGAAAACTGGCAAAGGAGGAAAAGAATAGAATCATCTAATATTGGAAATCTTTTACTATACTTGTTATAAATGGTCCATGCTATAATTATTTTGATAACACTTTAATTATTTTGGTAATACGTACAGTGTCTTTTTTTTTTTTGGGTGACCATTGCTATAATGATTGATAATACTTTATTTTGGTAATACGTATAGTGTTAATACAGTAAAAGAAGAGATGAATTAGTAAAGAGCTTGTCCACTTATAATAGCATCAAGTAAAGAACTTATCTATTTGAGATTCAATTATTACCACTACTTTAGCCAAATTCAAGCTACCACTAGTATGTAGACATTAGTGATTTACAAACCCCCCTCCTCTCCCCACACGGCCTCACACACACACCAAGGAAAAAGGAGGATATCGGGGTTGCATGTCTTTTATAAAAGTAAATAAGGAAAATAATTTAAATGGTGGAGTTTGGTTGCGTTGATTTGAGGATAAATACTATATACATAAGAAACGTAGCGTATATATTTATGTACTTATTTTGATTATTTATATCTTTCATGCATGAAACTAATAATTTTAAAGTGCTCTTGATCATAGTGTAATGGCTGGTAGGGTAGCATGGTCTGATGACAGCACAGAATTTTTTTTGGACATATGCTTGGAGATGAAAGCGGGTGGACTATCAAAGGTTAATTGGGATAGAATAGTGAGTACTTTGAACGTTAAAAGTGGGAAGAATTTCAATATTAAACAAGCAAGAAATCATTGGGATGATTTAAGGAAGAGGTTCAAAATTTGGAATGAAATGGAACTCAATTGGACCGGTCTTACATTTGATCCTATTACTGGTTGTCCTGTAGTTGAACAAGATGATAGGTGGAATATATTTGTGAACGTACGACATTTTGTTTATCCATTTTGTTGCATTATGACCTCTACAATGCTAATTTATTTTAAAATTTAATTAATCGAAATTTTGTGCATTTATGCAGAAATATAAAGGTATGCTAGCGAGATTCCTAAGGAGACCATTGCCTCATCTAGAGAAGTTACGGGCACTTTTTTCAGGGTCTTTTGCTACTAGCAAATGGAGTTTTTCTCCAGGATTAGGTGGGGAACAGATTGGTAAAGAAAATGAGGAAAGGTCTGGGACAGTGATGAAAATATAGGAGATATGGAAATAAGTAGGGGAATAAATAATTCGGATGATGAACAGAGCATTTCACCTCCTAAAAGTACCTCGTTGGGGAAACGTAAGAGTGATGGGTGTACTAGTAAACTTAAAAAAAACAAGAGTAGTAACATTGACTCTTGTATAGAGTTGTTGAAAATGTCTATTGAAACTAATTGTAAGCAAGGGAGTGGTAATAAGTATAAAGATGTTTCAGACGCTCTATACAATATTGAGGCTATTGTTCAACAAGGAGAAGGATTTATTTACCAATGTATGAATTTTCTTCATCATGGCGATAATGCAGATTTCTTCTTAGGTCTCCGAAGTGATGATTAGAAGATAATGTATTTGAAGACAACATTTCAAGATCCAACATTGGGTGGTCCTTAATTAGGTTTTTTGGGGTGATGAGTATATGAAGTTAACTTTGTCTTATGTTTTCCTATGACTTGTTTTGCACTTTCATATGTTCTTTGTTAGTTATTTGATGTTGTTCTAGTTTTAATTAAGGTTCCACATATGAAGCTACTATTTTTTCTGACCTTTAGGTTTAAGTAGCTTCATATGATGCTATTGCTTTTCAGGTGATCTAATTAAGAAGCTTTAGCCTTTATTTTAAAAGTCATTGTTGATTTTATTTTACAAATTGAATAATGTTGGTATTTTGTTGGTTTATGTTGTAGAATGGATAACACACTTCCAATGTGCTTGACAATTATCGCATTGGAAGAGCTAAAGAGACTTTACACCAATTGAGAGATTGCCTCTAAGGTTAGGTGGAGAATCTGGTAGCGAATACATAAATAGACTACTACATGCCCTCCTGATTTATGCAAAGAACAATTGAGATTAGATAGAAACATATTTGTGGATCTTGTTACTTGCATGAAAAATAAAAATTTATTATCGGATGGTCGTTACATATCTGTGGCTGAGCAATTAGGAATATTTTTATATATCATGGCTAAAGGCAGTTCTTATCGTAATGCTGCCGGTCGATTTCAGCATTCTATTGCAACAATTGGGTTGTACTTTAAACAAGTACTGGAAGCAATGGTTCATTTGTCTACCGTGATCATAAGACCATACCAAAGTTTGACCGTGGTGCCAAAAAAAATAGGTGACAGCACAAAATATTGGCCATATTTCAAGGTATTAAGAAACATTATTATTATCTTGCATTGTCATTATATTATTTTATGCATATGCAATATATAATCACTTATAAAATGTATCCTAAATGTTAATGAACTATTAGGATTGTGTTGGAGCATTGGATGGGACTCATATAAATGCAGTTGTAAGCGATGATGATGGTGTGGCACATCGAGGGCGTAAAGGAAAAAAAACATGGAATGTTTTGGCTGCCTGTTCCTTTGATAGGCTTTTCACGTTTATCAACGTTGGATTTGAAGGTAGTGCTCATGATATTACTGTATGGAACCATTGCTTAACTGTACCAAAATTTCGATTTCCCCATCCACCTCCAGGTATAATTTAAAATAGTGTATGTTTTTACTCCATACATGACACTATACTAATATGTTGTATAACTTTATTTTGTAACAGGAAAATATTATCTAGTAGATTCTGGATATCCGAATACCGTTGGATATTTGAGTCCAATAAAAGAAAAAGATATTAGAACCCATTTGCCTGAATTTCGAAATGGTCCACCACCACAAGGCATGCTTGAACTTTTTAATTATCTTCACTCTTCACTTCGAACAACAATCGAGAGATGTTTTGGACAATTAAAAGGTCGATGGAAAATATTGACAATGATGCCACAAATGGACACTAAACATCAATTGGCAATTATGGTTGCTACATTCACACTTCACAATTTTATTCGATTACATGAGTTGGATATACCCATTGATAGTGGTATAGAAATCGAACCAAGAGCAGATTATGATTTGTTTAACGAGAATCGTAAAGCTGTAATGAAAGAAGTACAACTTAATATAGCGAAGGAAATTTGGAACGTCTTGTAATGAAAATTATATTTGTAAACGTTTATGATTTGGAGCTTATAATGAAATTTTAATTATTATCGTTTATTGTTTGTGCTATTTAATAACATAGACAATGTTGTTAGTTCAAACAAACGATAAAATCAAATCCGATACATCACAAATCAATAATAATAATAATAATAAATAATAAATAATAAATAATAATAATAATAATAATTTGATCTGAACTTATTTTTTCTGATCTGATCTAAACTTATTTTTTCTGATCTGATCTGATTTGAACTTACTTTTCCTGATCTGATCTGATCTGAACTTATTTTTTCTGATCTGATCTGATCTGAACTTATTTTTTCTGATCTGAACTTATTTTTTCTGAAATAAGTAAAAAATAAGGTGAACTAAATAGGGCCTAAACATCCTTCCACTCCTTATTCCTCTGGAGCTTTGGAGAATTGGAGTTAGGAAGGAGTAAGATCATTTTTGGATGATAATTACTGTACTTAATAAAGATATTAGCAATTATTGTCGTGGGTCGTTGGGGGTAGTGTCTGTTATTCTCCGTAAATAATAAGAATATGTGGAGTATACTAAAGCAATAAAGATGAGTGATCTTCGGAGCATATTTATTATTAAATTGTTTAGATGAAAATTTGTCAAACAAGTGGATAGATGGTTTAAGGATGGAGTGGTGCACCATCCGAAGCCTATCTAACTCGTATGTCACCTACTTCTCATCCATTTTATTTGGGTTTTCATCCAATTATTAGTAAAGCAAGTGATAGATTAGATCGACATCTATCCATTCAATTTACTATTGGTGTTTACTTGTGCAAAGAGAATGGGAGTAAAGTGGCATTGTGTACACTTAAGCTAGCTCCCTCACTGAACTACATGAACTTCTTGATACCTTTTAGGAAAAATTATCAAAAATAATACAAACTTTGAGCGGTCCGCTAAACTCAATCTTTTAATTAATAATTTATGAATAACACAAACTTTGGAGAGTATTCGCTATAAACAGGCTATAATTGGTTGGTGACTTAATTAGGGGGAAGTAGTAATGGAGGAATGTTATGCATGTAGAAATGCATAACAAGGGTCATTCATGTAATTACATATATATACGAGAGTGGTATCATTGGATGATCAAATAATATCACTGAACATATGGTGATACTACATATGCATATAATGGTATTATATATGCATTCAGTTGTACTAAATTTATGCATAAATAGTATCACTAAAGATTCAATGGTACTATATAAACTTACAGTGGAACAATCAGCATGTGGTCCCCCATCACGTGAGACAATCTGACCAAAAAATAGGTGGGGTCCACCTACAAACCTTTATTCCTATCTCTTTCTCCTCTTTTCTCTCTCTCTACCATGTGTTTTTAGAATATTTTAATCATTGTTATTTATTTACAAATACATAACATTTTTCCCTTTAAAATTCCTCCTTGATTAATAGGTATATTGGACACGTGTCGTTATTCTATTGGTTTGACATTTTAATTTTTTTTTATTTTGTTTAATGTTTTTAATGTTTATTTTATTATGTTATTAATATAATTATTTAAAAAAAAAAAAACCAACCCCCTCCCCTACCAGCCACTCCTTCCTTGCCGCCCGGACCTCCAACGACCCCCGGTCGGCACCCCAGCCCCCTCCCCTGCGCCGACAACACCAACCCCAGCATCCCTACCCCTCCCCGACTCCTACCCACCACGTAAAACAACGAAACCCCCACCAAAACCTCCAATCGCTTTTTCCCCCACCTTGAAACCCTAGTGGCTAGGGTTTTCGAGGGTTGGGAAAGGGGCGCTTGGGGGTGAGGGGGTGAGGGAGGGAGTTTCATGGTTTTTTTGGGGAAGGGAGGGGGATTTCGTTGGTGGTTCGAAGGGAGGGGAATGGGGTTTCGGTGATGGTGTTTCGAGGGAGGGGGGGCAACGACGACAGCAGGTAGGAATGGTCGATGGGCCGGCGGGGTAGATGGGCTGGCACCGTCGGGGGCTTTGGGGAGGGTAGCTGTTGATGGGGGAAGTAGAGTTGGTTGGTGGGGGAAGCAGAGGTGGCTGGTGGTGAGGGAGGGAAAGTTTTTTTTTTTTTTTTAAAATAAAATTATTTTAATAATTTAATTATTAATTAACTATAAATAAAGCTTGAATTAGGAGTTAATTAAATTCTTAAATGAATTTATAAAAATATAAAATGTTAACTGATTATTTAGGTTATAGGTAAAATATCTCATTTAAAGCGGATACTCTCCAAAGTTTGCATTATTCAGAAAAAATCAAAAGATTAACTTGTTTTTGGCGGACTATTCAAAATTTGTAATATTTTTAACAATTTTGAATTCATATTATTATTATTATCATTATTATTATTATTATTATTATTATTATTATTATTATTATTATAATTATAATAATTATTATTATATTATTATTATTATTATTATTATATTATTATTATTATTATTATTATTATTATTATTATAAAGCAAAGACATACTTCTCTCAAAGGACAGCTTACTATCTCATATATATTGATATGCCTGCATATAATGAATCATATCACGTCGCTGTAACATATTTACCGCACAATTAGTTCCTTGATATACATAGACAAGAATTTCCTATACCGTTCCAATTTTATCAGATTTCTTCGAAGAGACCACATAGACGAGAATTAACAATGGAGAAATGGCCAAAGTAGCTGTTTGATATCATCCCTTATAGTCTTTATTTATGTAAAGATCAATAATACCAAGAATATCGAAGACTAGAAAGGAGCAGTAACAGGCTCCTTTTGCCTAACTTCATCAGGGGACTGAATTAAAGGAGTGTTGCATAAGCAATGGTGTGACTTTTCTATTTTATTCTTTTCTTCCTTGATGCATTCATCAACGTTACTAGTGGCATCAACTCCGATTATATCATTATTTCCTTCAGTAATCTGCTCCATTCCCTCCCTCAATCCCTGCAACAATAATAATCAATTGCTAAAGTTATAAAATTAAATGTTTTGCTAACAAAAGAAATTATAAAATTAGAAGGGGAAATGGATTGATATTCTCCCCATGAAATTATCTAATATTAATACAATTTATTGAGTTAATGTCATATCTTGTCATCGACTCTTTATTGAGTTAATGTCATATCTTGTCATCGAGTCTCTATTCTCATTTTGACAATTCTTACTAGCACTCGTAGTATATTATAATCAAAGCATATCGCAAACAAGTGAAACAACTACTATTGCTTGACGCCTAGACCATGTAACTACGTAGTATTTATTTTTACTAGGAATACATTTCTATTAGTGGAAGACCGGAAGGTAATTGATTCATCTAACACTTAATCAATCAATTCACAAGTAAACTACCAACTGTTTAGGGGCATTTTTAAGGTGCACCAGTATACAGTGTCACACTGTCTACCCGACAGCCCACAAAATTAACTGTTGGCCCAATTTAATATAGCATAAATACATGCATTATTGGGCCATACGTGGGCTGGCCCAATTAAAATCAAGAAAATCAGAGAAGTTTTTGAAAATGTAATAATTATGGGCTTTACCTGAACGAAGACTTCTGAGGCGATTTCTGGCTCCAAATTTTGTATTGCTACTGCCTGTTCCTACGACATAAAAAACTTCATCTTAAGTAAAATTTTGAAACTTTAATTGATAAAAACTAAAAAGTATACATGTATCCGAAACCATCACAAGTATGTAGGTATTGAGATTTTCTTCAAAAGAATATATATATATATATATATATATATATATATATATATATATATATATATATATATATATATATATATATATATATATATATATATATATATATATATATATATATATATATATATATATGGTGTCACATTTATACGTGGTTTACAAAAGCAACAGCTTTAACTGCATTTGCCAATATTGCCATTCTTTGATATCATTCGCTCTCCTTTCTTCCTTTTTCACATTAACACACATTATTGTTATTTTTTAACGATTAGATTAGAAGAAATTTAACATATTTATGACTTAAGCCTTTTGGTCTTTTAAAATCCCACAATACTATAATTAATAAGACTTAACATTTTTATATTGAAGTAGCAATTAAACAAGTTCAACCACTCTGTTAACTAGAAAAAGTTTGTAATTGTTGCATATAATGTGTATATACAATTATGGATGTTAAATTAAAACCTACTACACAAACTCTGTAATTAATACAATTTGAAGTCAAAGTAATTGCCTCAATAACTGAATAAATAAAACCCAAAATTGTTTAAGTCATAGTGTCTCAATATAAAATTTTAGATTGATTCTATACTATACCTACATGCATATTGAAAACAATTAAGCTTAATACTACATATACTCTCTTTTAATATATAAATAAAATTTAGCAAAAAACATAGGAAAAATAATTAAACACTTTTTATCTTCAATACTAAATGTGTAGTAGGAGAGAAGAATTTACCTTAACATGGTTAATCTGTACTGGACTCAAGGTCTTAGGCTCCATTTCTATGGCACAAGGCACACAAGCCATGACAACAACGACGACAACGACAAAGACTACTTATTAAGCAACTAGTTGATTAGTTTAGTTTTTTAGCATCACCTTTCAAATAACTACATACTACCAATTTTTTCTTCAAATTCCGTAGCTTATATAGGGAGTACATAAATAACTTAGGTGTGTCATAATTTGTATAGTTCTCTATATTTCTATAAAGTTCACGAGATTTTAGTTTGCCTTAATAAAAAGACTATTAAGAAAAGGACATACAACCAATAAGAAGATAACCTAAGGTGTACTGTGTTCATTCGCATCTCGTGCCCTAACATAAATGATAATTTTGTGCAAAAAGCTAAGGTAATTGGTTGATTTTTATGTTATAGAAGTATATCAACTTCACAAGGCATTTTCACCAGCTGTTTAACTTTTTTATTTTTCAACTATATCTCTATGTATGGTTACATTTATAGCCTCTTCTTGCAAGCAAATTAGCTGTAATGCTGCTGGAATTTTTGTGGAATATGTAACATACTTGCCTTTTTTTTTTTTTGGTAAATAGAAAATTTCATTATCAAAAGGAGCTGCAAAGCAGCAAAACAGGAATACAAAAAGCCCGAAGGCCTAAACTCCGAAACACCAAAAGCCCCTAAGGGCAAACAACCACCAGCCAAGGACCAAAGGCCATCTTCTAGGAAGGGTTCCAAAGAACCTTGGGCCAAACACGGCTCTTCTTAACTCAATGGAAAGGAGCTACCCTCTAGGAGGATTACCCAAAACCAAAGGAACAGGACAACAACTAGCCCAAAAGCTTACTAAAAATGAACCAACATAATAGAAAAAGAAGAAGCTAAAGCCCAAAACAGCAAATAAAAGCCAAAAGGCCAGCAACAATTGGCAGCACACTTCAGGCAGCAAGCAGAGAACAAACAAGCAACAAGCAGCACAGAACACACTAGCAGCCTGAACCAGCAAAGAACAGCCAGCAACAGCACATACAGCAAAGCCACAAGCCACAACAACAGCAATGCAAAAAACAGAAACAACAACTAGAAACTAGCAGCCTGCAAGAAGCCAGAAACAGCACCAGAAGCCAGCAACAGCTGGTACACCTGCAGGCAGCAGAGAACAGAAACCAAACAGGCAACAAGCAACACAGAAGCCAATAGAGACACAACAACATAAACCAGCAGCAGAATAGCCTGCACATAACTCAGCAATTGAACAGCAGCAGACTAACCAGCAGCCAGCAGCATGCAACAAGCAGACAACAGGCACACAACAATAGCATGCAGTAAGCAGTAGACAGCAAATACACTAAGCACACCAGCAGCACCAACAAGCCAACCAGCTCAAACTAGACAGCAACACCAAATAATTAGACAGCAGCCTGAACCAGCAGTGATCCAGCCTAGCACACTGAATCGGAACGGTAGCAGCAGGGCAAAAAGAAATAACAACAGCTAGCAACACCTGCAAAGAGCCAAAAACAAAACACAAAAGCCAGCAGCACCTGGCACACAAGCTGCAGACAACAGAACAGAGAACAGAAAGGCAGCAACCATCACATAATCAAACAGAAGCCACAACAACAGCTCAAATTAGCAGCAAGCGGACTAAACCACCGGCTAAACAGCCCCTTAGCATTTAATCATGAGATATTTCCGAGCTCCTTTGGAGAATCTACAAGCAACTCTAAACACAATATTCCGAAACTCGGAAGTAGCATCGACACAAGAACCATTAAACATGGTTGAGTTACGTTGAATCCAAATGCTATAGACCGTTTCAGCAAAAAATATTAAGAATAAGTTCTTCCTCTCACCCGCTTTCCTACAATATCTTAAGGCCCAATCAACCTCCAATTAAAAGCTTTGAATAGACTTACTAATATGAAGCAAATCAAGCACCTTCTGCCAAATATTGCTAGAATAAGGATACCCGAAGAAAAGGTGTTGAACACTCTCGGGCTCACTCAAACAAAGCAAGCACACATGATCGCAACTGATTCTCCAAGAAATCAACCTATCTTTGGTTAGCATCCTATTCAAGATAGCCAACCACAAAATGAAAATACTCTTAGGAGAAGCTTCATTGTTGCACACAAGCCTCTTCCAACTCACTTTGGGACATTGTTGTCTAATAGCACTATAAACTTTCTTGATTTGAACTTTACCATTGTGCTTCACAACATCCTAACCACCACAACTCTCAATAACCTCCCTACATTTGAGGATCTTCTTTAAGACCCAAGAACATTTCTGGGGGGGGGGGGAAGTAGTCCAAATGTCTTTATCCTTGAAATAATAGATATGAACCCACCTCACCCAAAGAGTATCCGCCTTATTGCAAATGTCCCACAAGTTTTTACAAACCGCTGCAATGTTCCAATCCTCCAAGGCAAGGATTTTCCAACCTCCACTAGCCTTAGGAAGGCAAATTTGATTCCAAGCTACAAGAGCTTTTTTTGTTGGGTTAGAATTCCCAGACCATAGAAAATAGCGAAACCTAGCCTCAATTTCTTTTATGATTTTCTTAGGAAGAATGAAGATTTGAGACCAATAGGTTTGCATTCCAAACAACACACTACGAATGAGCTAAAGTCGCCGCCATAAGGTAAGAACCTCACCGCCCAACTATCAACTCTTGAAGTTATTTTTGAAACCAAAGGCTTACACTAAGCCACAAAGAGCTTTTTAGATGACAAGGGCACACCCAAATACCTAAAAGGAAGACACCCAGCACTCATACCAAGAACATGGAGAAAAAGGGCCTTTTCATCCTCAGAAATCCCACCAAAATAAGCCTCACTATTATCCAAATTAGCAGAAAGATCAAAAGCACCAGAAAATTTCAAAAAAGCTTGCATTAAAAGATCAAGGGAAGTCAAATCAGCTCTAGCAAACAATAGAAGGTCATCAGCAAACATAAGGTGCGTAAGCTTTAACTTTTCACATCTTGGGTGAAAATTGAAGTTAGGATTAGAGCTCAAATCATGAAGGCACTTGGACAAATATTCCATGCTGATAGCAAATAAGAAGGGAGACAAAGGATCACCTTTCCTCAAGCCCTTCTTAGATTTAAATGGCTTCGAAGGAGCACCATTGATAAGAATAGAAAAAGTAACCGCGGTGATGCAACCAAGAACCCACTTAATAAACAAGCTAGGAAAACCAAGCTCACAAAGTACAACCTCAAGGAAATCCCACTCAACAGAATCATAGACTTTTTTTTAGGTCCACTTTAATCATGCACCTAGGAGAGATGAACTTGTGAGTGTAACCTTTTATTAACTCATAGCCAAAAGGATGTTATCACCAATATGCTTCCCAGGAATGAAACCAGCCTGGGCATCTTCCACAACCTCACAAATGACCCACCCAAGTCTTGCAGTTATGATTCTAGACACAATTTTATAAACAACAGAGCAACAAGCAATGGGTCTAAAATCTTTCTCATAAGAAGCATTAAGAACTTTGGGCACCAGGGTAACAGTTGTGCAATTCCACTGAGGGGGCATCACACCAGTGGCAAAGAAATCAAACACAGCAGCATAAATATCAGACTTAATAAACTCTTAAGCATGCTTAAAGAATTTAGCATTAAAACCATCAATACCAGGAGCTTTATCATCAGATATACCTTTAAGAGCCTGATCAATCTCATCACAAGAAACATGAGTAATCAGGAAATGCTGAGAAAAGGGAGAAAGCTGCTTACCAGACCTCAAAGTAGCCAAATTAACACAAGGCAAAGAACCAGAACAAGAGCCTAACAGAGACTTATAAAAATCAAGGATCTCCTACTCAATATCAGAAGGGGTACGAAGCAAAACATGGTGCTCATTGAGAAGAGAGTCAATTCTATTCCTTGCTTGCCTATGCTTCATCACAGAAAAGAAGTATTTGGAATTTGAATCTCCAAGCTTAACCCATTCAACTCTAGATTTTTGCTTCCATATGCTCTCTTGAACATTTCTCCAATACTTAAGCTTCTGAATAGCCTCATCTTCTCGAAATAGCAGCTCAGGATCATTAAAGTTCACAACAAGTTGGCTTTGAATGTGACAAAGCTCATCAGCAGCTTGATCAATTTTCCCCTCAATATTCCCAAAGGATCTAGAGTTCAACTCCTTGAGTCTAGTTTTAACTTTCTTAAGTTTCAACCAAACTCTAACCATTTTTCTCCCCAAGAATTGAAATTGCCAAGCATCCTAACACATTTCTGAAAATCAACATGGGTGAGCATACAGTTCAAAAACCTAAAAGGCTTTCCTTTCCCAGGGTGAGAAAGGAAAACCTCATAGAGTAAAGGAGAGTGGTCCGAAAGAGAAGGAGGCAAATACATGGCCTCAACATTACCAAACTGTTCCAACTACTCTGATTCACAAGCCCCCTATCAATTCTAGATTGAGTGCGAACCTCGGTGTGAGACTTGTTGGACCAAGAGTATAAAGCACCTTTACTCTTAATTTCAACCAACTCCACAACTTCCAAGAATCTTTGAAAATCCCTAGTTTCATAATCAGAGACAAGGCTTCCATTAACCCGATCCTCATCATGTAACACGTAATTGAAGTCACCAGAACATAACCAGGGAATAGAAAAGGGGCCTAACCTTGAAACCCCCTAGATATTAATTTACCTATCTAGATATTTTTAATAGTCATTCGCTTATTCCCTTCTTCTCAAAATAATATTGTTCCTACTTTGACAGTGATTTTCATAATGAAATAGTAGTATCAAATAAAAATAATAGTACATTTAAAAACAGAAGGGGTACAAAGAGAGGCACGGGTCAAGTGATAGCTTAGGTATGGTGTGGTAGGAGATTGAATCCTAGTGTTAGGGGGGATTGGGGAAGTTATTATAGAGTGTTAAACCTTTGGGTATAGGCCTAACTCCCTAAGAAAGGGAAAATTATAGGATAATGTGTAATCTAAAATTGCCCTATATTTAAAGAATGGACAAGATCTATTTGATCGATGTGGTGATCAATACACTAATACTTGTTTGATCAGATGATCTTGTTATGTATTTGTAAAATGGAGATTTATCAAATGTGTAAAAAATTATTGTTGTCTTAATGTAACATCTCGTGAGTTACTTCTTTGATTTATTGATTGTCAATCAAATTGTTTAAAGAGCCTCAATTGAAAACAAAGATTTAATTGATGTAAGGCCGAATAAATGGTATCAGAGCGAATGATTCAGTTGGATAAACGCAATAATGCATGCTAGGAATATCGAGCTACCTCATAGAATGACCTGTTAAACAAAGATTTAGAGCGGGTAACCGTTGATACATGAACAACAATTAAACATCACGATTCGTTGTTGTAAATTTTAAGCAACTAAGAATAGCTCAGACTCTTGTAGGCACTGTGCATTGACTACTATCATGACATACAGATGTAGCAATGGAAGTCTCCAGGTATTACAAAACCAACTAGAATTTTCTATTATGTACATGTCTTATTAATAATTAGTTTTGTCCTAGAGATGGTATTGAGTGATAATTAAATTACGAATATGAAGAAGTATTACCATTTATGGATATTGCCATTTATATGAAGGATAAGAATGTGGACCTAAAGGAAATGGATCTTTTGGATAAAAACAAATAGAAGTTTTTTTTGGACAAACAATATTTCTTTTTCATTTATTTTTACATTGAAAGAACAGATAAAAACAAAAAATGATTCAACCTCAGACCCATTTGAATGTAGCAGACAACAGCGGGGCTCGAGAATTGATGTGTATTCGAATCATAGGAGCTAGCAACCGCCGATATGCTCGTATTGGTGACGTTATTGTTGCTGTGATTAAAGAAGCAATACCCAACACGCCCTTAGAAAGATCAGAAGTGATCAGAGCTGTAATTGTACGTACCTGTAAAGAACTCAAACGCGCCAACGGTATGATAATAGGATATGATGACAATGCCGCAGTTATCATTGATCAAGAACGAAATCCAAAAGGAACTCGAATTTTTGGTGCAATTGCCAGGGAATTGAGACAAAACTTTACTAAAATAGTTTCATTAGCTCCTGAGGTATTATAAGATGAGAAGTAGGGTATTTGACTGAAAAACAATAGGAGATTGTGTATCACGTATATATCTTTCATTTTGAAGTTTTTTATAATTAAAAATTGAATACTAAACTAAAAAAAAGGCATGTTGATTATATCAAATTTTTGGGGAACCACTTATTTTAGTTCATCATGAGTAGGGACACTATTGCTGATATAATAACCTCGATACGAAATGTAGAATCCATTTTTGTTCCTTCATTCCAGACAAAACCCCCTTAAAGTATCAACTAATAGAGGAATGATATTAGACAAGCTGTCTTTTCTCTTTTTTTGTTCACAAATCGAAAATTTTGGATCCAATTCAGATAGTATAGGGATTACCATATATAACATTAAATTTCTCCGCCAATTCGTTCTAGTCAAGCCTCTCGATCCGTCATTATACCTCTAGAGGTAGAAAGAATTGCAATCCCCATTCCACCTAAAATTCTAGGAATTCGTTGATAGTTCGAATAAATTCGTAGACCAGGTCGACTGATCCTTTTTAAATGGAAAGTATTTTTATAAGGCGTTTTCTTATTTCGTCTATGTCGCAGAGTTAAAACCAAAAAGTAGGTTCTTTAATATATTTAGAATTATTATCATCAATTCTTTCATTTTGATAGGTTTTGTGATTCCATGGATTATATCTATTTGCACAAATACCTCGACGACTCCCACCCGTTAATATATAGAGTCCAATAAGCATATCTTGGGTTGGTACGGAAATGGGATATATTATTTTTGTAATATTACATACTATCTATCTCTTTGATTATCATTTTTTTATTGTAAACATAATTCATTGATAAAAAAATCATACGACATTTATAAAGGAGATTTGACTTTAACTAATACGAACTCTTTGATTAACATTATGCTATACTTCATATGAAGTACATTATATACCGCATTTGTTTAATTAACCTTAATGGTTATATACACGCAATATAATAAGTTAGCTGTTGATGCATTGAAATAAAAAGTTGGCAAGGTTTTGGTAAATTGATACCTTAAAATGACAACTAACTACGAGTATAGTAAGGTGCATGCTCACTGTACCCCAAATTATACTCTGTATATAACAATAACATACAGTTTATTTAAGTTTATAGTACTTGAATTATACTTCATATATAACCAAGAGTACTACTTAAACATAAAATTTTCCCTATTGTCACACCATACACCCTATATAAGTTTATAGCTTCCTAAAAAAGAGAAACACACCGAGCACTTTCTCAAACAAAGAAACAAACAAACAACAAAAATCCACTTTAAAGGTTCAACTCAACCCAAATTTAAACTTGAAAACCCATATAGGGTTAGCGGGTTAGCCCAAAAAAACCGAAATTTCAAGTTACCCTTCTCCTTCAATTTGACCCACTGCCCGGTTAAAAGCCATACGAAACCCAACTTGACCCAATCAAAAAGCTCTACCACCACAATTTCTCCATACTACATTCACATGCAATTTAATTTTAGTCTTCCCATTAATATGAAAATGATAAACTTTTCAAACATGGGAAGCCTAAGTGCTAATTAATTAGTTTAATTAAAAATGCATGAAATCAAAATTAATTATTTTAATTACAATGCTAAGCAAGCTGGTGCCTAAGAATAATCACAGAGAGACATGGGCTGTGTCTATAGGTCTAGCCATGTGCCCACCCAGCCTAAGAGTCGTACGAACGTAGTAGTAGTTAGCAACTTCACCCTACTCTCCTCGTACACTTACCAATTATCAAATTTGTTTTATATATTTAAACCATGGCCATAATTTATGTTACATACCTTAATCATATAATATATAGTTAATTAATCACGTATTCATGTCTAAGATGTTTGGTAATATGCATGATTTTGTGTTATGAGCCTAATTAATAATGTTTGGGAAGAATGAATTAGCACATAAAAATGCTTACTTGGAGCTGATTCGACTCTATGATTGACTTTACAATTTGAAGATTTTTTTTCCAACTGGAATGCTTTGACCAAAATAATTCTGGTCTAATAATGCTTAGTACCTTAGTTTAGCAAGTGTTTTATTATTTAATTTACATAATTATTAGGTAATGATGCATTTTGGTCTAATTTGACTAATAATGTAACTAAACATGGGAGTTTAGGCTAGAAAGTAACGACCTTTAGGTATACTTCTAGTCTGGTTACAACTTCCAAATCCCAATTATTATGCAAAAATCTTTGTTATTCTAAAGTGATATAAAACCTAAATTCTTCACGCACTTATTGATAGGAATCAATTAAGAGTAAGTATAGTCTATCCCTTAAAATGTAAAATGAAAATAGAGATATATAGTCGAATATTTTCGATAAGCATTACATATTTACATCCATCATGCAATAATTATCACCTTTTCATGCAATGTTGATAGTGTAATATAATGATATACAATGTACATAATAACCATCTTATGATACTAAATAAGGAACTCCTCTATTCGTAACTGATTTTTGAATGGAAATTCCTTAGGCTCTTAATTAAGTTTTCATGGTAAATAAACATCCTCCTAACTTCCAATCAATCCGCATACTTGATTAGTGTCGATCAAATGGCTGGGCCGGGCCGGGCCAAAATTGAGGTTTTCGGCCAAAATTAGGATGGGACTACGGGCCAACAGGGAATCAGCCCAAACATTTGGGTTTTAGGGCTAAAAGGGTCAATCTAGGTTTGACGGTTAAGCCCTATATATAAGATTCATTTTTTTTTGAAAAAAAAGAAAATGCATATTCTTTTCTAGTATCTGAGTTAGTGTAGGCTTAGCTTGTTTTATGTAATTTGATTCATATTGTTTTCTTCCTCCAACTTATAAGGTGAATTGTTAATGAGAAAGTGGCGTTTCCCCAATAACATGCATACATTTTATTCCCAAATAAGCCCCCAAATAGTTTTCCACAAAAGGCTATTTGGTTTCCTTACAAGTAAAGTCTTGAACCTAAAACTTCCAGCTGTTTTTACTAATCAAAAATTGATATCACCCAAACTTTAGCAAAGTGTTAGATATAGACCATAGTTGACTTCAAGTACCAACATATAAATAGTACAATTTCACTTTTGAAATAATATATACTTCTACACAATAGC